TTACCTCTATAACCAGATCCCCCCCCTTCCACCTCAATTTAACTTTCATAAATGGTCCCTTGTTTAGCATTGGCCACCAACAAGTTTTATATATGGTCATCACAATCCTGAGCCAGTCTCCACAGCTTTCTCAAAGAATGTCCGGTCCTTAATGCCACACAGTTCTCCCAGCATTAATTAAAAACGTCCCATCCAACTGACACACTTTCATGGCCTAAATGGTCTAGAGATAAGGTCTTGCTTTCCTCTCATGCCAGCGTCCCTGACTCTCCCCCCCAGTTCATACTGACATGGTAGGCAGAGGCTTACATTTTTCCAATCCTGTTTTTGTAACACCCCTCATGGTAAGTCGTTAGTTTAGTTTTAGGAAGAGCTTTACTGCACTTGCAACGCAGTACGCAGTAGAGTCATATAAGTGCTGAAGATTAGAGATGTTACAAAAAAGTGACAAACAAAAAAAAGAAGGAGGGGAGATTGAATGGTAGATGTTTAATAACAAAGAAGGATCAAACTATACCAGAGCACCTGCCAACCACCCACTAATGGTAAGTCAGATTGAGAACCAGTCTTCTTGTTTGAGTCTTCTTTGCCCTCATAAAAAACTAGAAAAGCTCTGGTCAGTTCAAATACAAAGAAATCTGCCAAAACTGAAAACATAAATTCGAAACAGGCGGTAAAAAGAAAAAAAAATCGAATCCCTGATGTTCTTCTTTGTCACTGTAAGAAAACTATTGGGAGCAAATGACGAGCCTGCAAGATATTGTGCCCCCCAAGGCATATCAGTCAACCAACCGACAAACCAGGACAACATGATGCTACAGCGCCAGAAGACAGAGAGAGAGAGAGAAGAAAACTATTGATTAGCCGAAATGCTCCTTTTTCTAAACCAAAAGAATTTTGAGAGTTCCGTTGTTTACATCTTCACTGGCAATTCTCAATTAATGCAAATCATCAAGTTTTGAGATAGCAAAACAGTAGAACAAGACAAAAGAATGTATGTGTGTCAAATGTTGGCCAGAGAGAAAGGCATCCCCAGTCTGTTGTTTGCTTGCAAAACATTTATCACACACATCATACATCACTGTGTATATTGACCCAAAGATGACGAATGTACGTCTGTCACACAACCTTTGGATGGTCGTGTCCTATTGTCTGGGAACATCAGCCCTACACATGAGCATGTGACATCACTAGCATTGATTCTTCTCACTTCTGCAGTTTAGCACAGAGCACAATACAGTGTGCAGTACTTTTTGCTCTTTCATCTGTTCTATGAAAATGTTCAACAGATTAAGCAAGCTATCATGTCGAAGAGAAAGCACAATGCATACAGTCTGCAGTTCACATAACAATTACTAAAAGAAGTAGATGATAAAAAACTTTCAAAAAGTGAAATTTGCCACAAGCACGGCATTCCAAACCTTATGCTATCGACAATAAACACAATTTGAGCTATCTATGTAAACTAAATCATGGCTAAACTTGAAAAAATCCAGCAGTCCCACAAATTTTGGTTTAAGCAAACTCCACAGTAATTAAAAGTGCCTTAAAAAATGGCATACAGCTGCCGGAAAGGCTAGAAAGAAAGGAAGTCATGAAAAAAATCAGTTTGCTAAAAGTTTGATAAGCATAACTGACTGTCCTTGAGCTGGAGGAGCACAGCAGAAAAAGGTGACCCCTGTAAAAAAAAAATTCTTTTGTGCATGGGTCTCAACTCAGAATTTTAAAAAAGGAGGAACTTTCCGGGTGATCGCGACAGAAGCCCATTTTCGTGAAGCACCCATTATTATTATACTGTTTTGAACCCTAGAATGCTGAAATAAAAACCATCAATTTATCAAAGCAAGGTTATTTCATACCAATTTCAGGGTTTGGAAGATAATTTCAAATAAAAATCACTTACCAAATATTTACAATCTTGATTACGTACACAAAGTGGTGGCGCACTGGGGTCTTGTGCGACTTATTTATATTTTCCCTTCATCATTAGCCTGCATATATAAACTATACAAACAAGAATCTTGTTTTGAGCATGAGAAAAGGCCTAGAACCAGAATACCGACTGTCACGAACCAGTCTGGGTGTCACGATTCATATCATATATAATAAACGTGAAAGACAAAAATTAATGCTCAAACTCAAAGTAGAGTAATAACTTGAATAGCTCAAGTAAACCTATTCAGTGTGAGAGGTGTAAGAACTGTGGCAGGGCAAGGTGCAGTGACACTGAAACTCTGCGAATCTTGAACAGAAAGCTGAAATATAGAGATAATTTACTACCACTCATCCAAAGAAACACAAACACTTAGGCCCCTAAGTTCAATAACACGCTTACAAGTTATGACGGTTCCCAACAAGGCCAGCACCAACGTGCACTTAACTTTGCAGACAGCTGTGATAGTAATCAAAATTCAAAATATAAAAAAATTTACTTCTGATTTCAGTTTTTTGTCCTCTGGTGTTGCCCCCCATCCTCGAGTGTATCTTTTTAAAAAATCAATAATCTCCCCTAATTCCGGAGTCCTGTACTTCGCAGCCCTCAGAACGTGCGCAGGTTCACTGACTGGTCACAATGGCGAGCCCGACAAAAACCTGCATAACTTTCTTTTCTTTTTTTTTTTGCCCCCACAAGTGACTACTATTTATTTATTTTCGTGGCGACACCACGTTTGTAATGCAGAACCCGCATGTTACAAAAGTCGCATTATCAGACTACTACTGACAAATTTCTTGGTGGTAACGAAAGCGAAAGTAGATCTTGATCTTCCGGTTGAGACTTGGTATCATGTACTATTCCGCTTGCCGCCATAACCGCCTGTTTGCGTGAAACGTACTCTCAGACCGAGAAAAGTTGAATTAATATCACAATTGCGACCGGCAAAAAAGAACTTAAAGACGTTATCAGATTTGGTTTTCAAATATTTGAGATCTTTTATGCATTTTCCCGGGCCTCAGCGATTTTTTTTTTCAAATTCCCGGGGCCTGGCAATCACCCTGCTCCCAACAACTCTCTTTATGATTGGTCCGCTGTCGCAGCAGCGGAGTTTAGCGGAGGAAATGGCAGTAGCGGAAATCCGCTAAAGAGCGGAATATTAAGACCCATGTTTTTGAAAACCAAAAAAATACCTCACCATCTGAATTGGCTGTCCAGAAATCTGTGGCGTTGGGAGGTTTATGACTTGAATACCTAGGTGCAAAAAGAAAGGATATATCAGTTTTAAAGTTGACAAGAGTGCTGTTCTGTACACATGTAGGAAACAACAAATGTGTATCATTCACATGACAATTGCACCAAATACGAGAATACTACACCCTCATAAAATCAATCTCACATACTGAGTTGAATGTCAGCTGACATAATTAGACTTGAAAAAATTAGTCTATCGAAGGAACTACAATGGCACTGTTCAACTGGGAGTAAACTTTTTAACAAATGTTAATTAATTACATCATCCAGATTGTACTGAAACAAGATTTTTTTAATGACATTTGCTAGAAACGAATACGAACATTTTGAAAATTTACATCACAATTTTTTTTTTTAAAGGAACAAATTTGTCTACACATATTGACCAGAAAAGCTTGCGAAATAAAATACACATTATAACTATAAACAGCAACACAAAATTAGATACATGCAGTATACAATAACCAAATTAGGAAGCTTTTTTATTTCCCTTCTAACTCACTTCAGACGGGTCACACAACAGTTGCGTGACCCCCGCTGCGACGCTCGCGACGGGTCTCACAAGCCCTGCGTGACCAACTTTGGAATTTTTTTTTCGCTCTACAAATCACGCACGGATCGCGAGACCCGCCTCGTACCCTTGTTTGGCCAAGCCTGAGCTACTTAGACTTCGTTTCGTATCTCTGGGGCCGGTAGTTTTTAAGTTATTGAAGGTGAAGGACAGTGACCCCAATTGGGGTTGAACAGACCGGAACTCGCGCTTTGTTTTTTTCTATACAGCTGATAGTAATCCGACAGTCGCGTCGAAGTAACGGTCGAAGAAGTCGCATGAACAAGAATCACATAATTTCGCCGTTTTCTATACTTCTGTGCGTTTTACTAGTTCTAGTGTCTCAGAATATGATGTGTCTAATAGTTAGGATCCTGGATATGTACCCGAACACGGCCCGAGTCGTAGTTCTAGGGCTAGATCTAGCACTAGTACCGGTGTTGTTTTTCGCGCAACGAAATCACAACGTCGTGCCGTACATCTGTCTCATGTAATTCAGTGTATGGGTCTGAATCAATGCACAGACCAGCTTTTATATTTTCACCAAACACTCGCACATGTATACAAATCAAACCACAACACTTTGAACTTTTATTTTTGTTGTTGCAGTGAATTTCATTCTACTTGTCACGTCTCTGGAAATTTTTCGGAAAATCAAATTCATGCCAATTTTTAAAAAATCATACAAATTAAAGTATTAGACTTAGACAACTTTAGTTTTTTGTATTAGATTAAGCTTGAATGTTACTTTACTGTGTCAAAAAATGATTACAATAGGGTAATTCTGAGAGTTGTGGTGATTTATTGAAATACCCCCAAAACGCCAGTCTTCAACGCTTGTGATTGGTGAAAGGGCCCAGTCGCAAGTGAGCTAAGGAAGCTAAATATATTAAATTATTGTTTTCCCCTTTCAGTATGAGACTAAATGGCCCAAAAACTTTTCCTCCTGCTTGTTTCATCTCTCACCTTGAGGCAACTGAACTGGTTTGTTGTTGGCATCCACCAGTACAAAAGAGGTCTGGCCGTTGATGGTGACCTGGTTGAGAAACAACATCTGCGGGATGCCGGCAGTGGCCACGGCACTCACTGGCGTGGATGTGCTGGCCGCAGAAGTTGTTTGCTGTTGAGCAGCTGGGGTAGCCGCCTGCTGTACCACGCTCTGGAGTACGTTGTTCTGAGGGATTATGGTGCCAACCTGAGGGATGGGAGGATGTTACGCAGAGAAACTGAGATAAGAGGAACAGGACGTCACAACCATATCACAAGCTGAATGGTAATTGTAACTGTAAGGTAAGTGTTTTATCACCCCATTTGACACTCACAACCTGAGGCATGGTTTGTTTATTTGTTTGTTTGAGTCAAGTGAAGCACATCAATAATGGCCATTTAGTGCAGGGAAAAGCTATGACAATGAATCAGCCCATTTACAATTTTACTGTGCATAAGAACAGCTTAATGTCCCCCCTTTGGGAATGGCCTATAGACACTTCAGCCAGTAGCACCACCCGGGGGTTGTGCAGTGTTTGATTACAAAATATATGTATAACGGTCCCTTTGACATACGCATGATAAAATACTCAACTGAAACCGATCCAAACACGACAGAGCTACTGTGTTATGAATATGATAATTAACGAACTGGGAATGTTCAGAGAAGAGAAACACAAGGTAGAAGATAACAGAAAACAGAGTCAATAGAAAACAACAAACAAATCACATGCAGGCCCCGAACAACACTTTGAAACAGAGGCATGGGTCTTATAGACTTTTAAAAAAATCTATTTAGCAAATATCTTTTAACAAATTGTTTTCCTTGGTCTCTGACTAATACAGACAAAACACATTTAAAAATCACCTTTAACCTACCAGAGCAAATCACTAGGCGAGGAAAGAAGTCAATACTTATCCAAGAGGTTTAAAAGATTCTAAACTGGACAGTAAACACATGGTTTGTTAATACCAGAGCTGTACCCCTTCTATTCTACTTTTCAACATTTACCATTTTTTCGTAATTCAGTTATTCAAAGTGTGGTAAAGCCATTCAAATGCTGTGTGGTTTTTTGAAGAACAGATATGTGTCTCATTTGTCTCAACTTGTAAAATCAAAGCATATTAAATCTAAACAACATAATAGAGCAACAGTAGAAGTAATTTTCCTTTTTGAGCAGGTCTTTCGAGATAATGGATTGTGACCCTTGCAGAAGAGAAAGAATAGAAACTGGACAGCGGTTTAGTTCATATCAGTAAAAGATTTTGTCTTGTGGTTGTCTACTAGAGCAATCATAGCTTCTTGTTACTCTAAAAAAGGAAACACAAAAGTGAAACAACTTTCAATACCAGAACCAGTTTTTTCAAGAAGTTATATTTGCATCCGGAAAAAGATGTACAGATATCTTTGTTAAGTATATGTCACTAACACACAGATTATTCTTGCCATAGCTTTCGACCTGTGATGACAAAGAAACAAATATATGAAGATTCAATGACACTGATAAAAGATTTTAAAATGTATCAAATTTTCATATCACCTGTGAGTTGGAAGCAAAAGATGTGTTTGTGATAACTTGGGGCTGGGCAGTGGCGTTCAGAGTCTGAAACCCAGCAGCAGCTTGTTGAAATGTTCCATCTCCCTGGGCCACCTGAGTCAAGATTCCAATGTCAAAAACAAGTCAAGTTCTGAGAAGACTATGGTGAGGAATACACCAATAAGACTTTTTTTTTTTAAATCAAGGCATAACAACCAACACAAACAGCTTAAAAAAAGCAAAATAAAGCAGGCCTGGTACACTTATAATTATATCTACCCATTCAGTATCCCCGAAAGTAAACTTACATGTATCTCTGTTCATTTTACCATGAGGCAAGAAGTGATGTCTAAGGCCTTTTACAAGACTGAAACATTATACTCCCTCTATGAGTATAAACTTTCTTTAAAGTTTTAAGATAACATTATTTTATAACTGGGAGCCTCTTGTGATGGTGCAAAACATTTCTTTGTTTTCGTTCATTGAAATTTCAAAACGACAAGACGTCTAACTGGCAGACCAGTTCACAACCACAGGAGCAAAGTGAACCAAACTGACAGCATAAAAGCCCTCAACAGAAAGGAACAACCAGTAATATATCACCTCTGAGCACAGCACATACCTCTCAACTATCACCTAAACAGACTCAACCCAGAAAAACTACCAAAGTGTTTGCTTTGTGACCACACTTACAAAACAGTCCAAAATGTGCTCTTCGAATGTCCCAAACTACAGGATCTCTGACAGCAACTTTTTCCTCCTGTTCCTACCACAGACACTACCTTATATTGTAGCAGCAAAAAGCAACTCGTAAAGACCACCATTTTTTTAATGGTATTGAGCCAAAGAGCACTCGCTCAAAGGCTACTGGATTTACAAAAATAGCAACAACATGAAATTATCAACAAACAATCATTCTTTCTAGTTCTGACTCATTCATCAAGATGAATGATACTCATGATGAGTATGTCATCAAACAACAAAAGAAAGAGAAAGCGGCAGCCAGTGCTAGTTACCTGGATGACATCATTGGCCCCAAGCTGTGTCACAGGAACACCATCAGTGGTAATGTACTGAATGCTCTGTACTGCTTGAGCATCCTCTGTGTTGTTGACAGTCACTGTCATGGGCTGGTGGGATGTGGCATCGTAGAGGGTGAACTGCTGCTCGCCCTCAGCCATTGGACAGCAGGTTCAAAGCCAGAGATCTGGGAGAAAAACAAAATCAATCATTCAACAAAGAAACTTTGTCTAAGATCCTGCATTTCCTTTGCTCTCAAGCACCAGGATCTTATCAAAATTGTCAAAGAGGGTCACCAAATATCAAGGGTAAAAATGGTTGCCTCAGACAGGTCTTGCACTTTGTTTATAAAATAAAAGGTGAGTCAAAATTATATCAACACTAGAATGGGAAATTTTTATTCAGAATATACTGAGCAGTCTCACCTGGTCACCTGCATGACCATCTTCATTTTTTTCTTTCTGTTTTACATAGAGTTTGACTTTTTATCCATTGCAAATTATTAGTTTTTAAAAAAGATATTTGATGTTTTAATTCAAACTGTATACATTATTTTTAGGCTATTTACTATTTAACTTAAACAAAATCTAGGGGTATTCAGGAAGACATATAATCTATGAGTTTTTAAAAAATCAGTGATTTCAGGAGGCACATATTTATATGTCCGTTCCCCCCCCCCCACCCCCTCCTTCTATTGTCCCATTATAATTTAATTTGCGCAGTAAGGGATTTTCTTGGATATCTTTCATTTGTAACCATTCTAGGGGTCATATGTTCCACAGCCAAAAATGTGTATGTTTAGCCCCTATAAGTACAGCATTTGCATGCAGAAATGACAGTAAAAATTACCAAACTAATTGAAGCCCCTCCCCCCCCCTTCAGGGCAGTGCTACTGACTGAAGTGTCTTTAGGCCATTCCCAAAGGGGAGGACATTAACCTGTCCTTATGCACAGTAGAATTGTAAATGGACTGATTCATCAATGTCATGCTCATAACTGTGCCTGAACTGCATCAGGCAACTGCTGCTTTTTCTTTCCTAATCCTTACTACCATCATTTTTGCTCTACTTCTTTTGTATGTTTGTCACACTCTTGTAACCCGCTATTTCTGGGGTGCTTTGATAGTCGAAGCAGACTTTGTGCTGTTGAAGCTAGAGAGGGGAGCAGAGTAAGTCTGATTCCCCCTGTAAGGACTTCTCAGTTGACATCCACCCCTTTGTGCTTATATGACCTTATGAGGTTGCGAGTGCTATAAAACTACTAAAAAAACAACAACAAACTTATTGAAGCAGAGTCTTTGCCAAAAAGTAGGTGATGTTTTAATGGGGATTTAAAATGGCTACTACTCAGACTCATTGAAACAAATTTTTAAACAGAAACATAATGATGAATTACTCAAGATACTTTCATAAAGTTGAAATTGGAACTCATTTGTCACATCCTGGTATTCCATCTTTTGACAAAGGCTCTTTTAAGGGGTCTAGCTACCAAGAAAAGCTATCTTTGTTATTTATGCATCTTTTGAAACCAAACCTTACCAAAATATCTGGCCCGTCCCAGAAATGAATCAAAATGTTTAAAAACATCTTAACCCAAAATGTATGTAACACCGGCGGCCATATTTAAATCATACAATGCTTAGGAAAATCTTAAAATTTTGAAAAACCAAAAAGGCGTAATATTAATTTTTTAATAAATAGGCCTATCGAATTAATAATAATAGTTATAGGTACCTGGCTGGGTTTTTTTTTATATGGTATGCTTCCAATATTTTGGAATTTCTGGGGGTTTCAAAGTAATGTTGTCCCTTTTTTGTACCAATTTTAAATGCAAAATCAATTTCAGGTGCAGATTTCTGAAATATTTTAAAGTACATTTTCTCAAATATAGCTAGTCAGATTCCTGTAACTACCAAATCTGCACATACTTGGAAAGTTTCAATACATTATCCAGATGAGTAGCTGAGATTTTAAGATTTTAGTTTTGACAAAAACACATATTTTAAAATGTCACTGTGTAATTTGAGGATTTGTTCCTTCTATAGGTTCCAGTACCATATTATTTCTAATCGTATGTAAAATATAATTTCTGTACAGTTACAAATAACCTCATTTATATATAGAAGTTTAGTGAACCAAGTAGACACAAAATGTAACCAAAAAAGAGAGAAGAAAGGTGACCAAGCAGTTGTTTCTGCAAGGGGGGGGGGGGGGGGGGGGCGCTCGAGACATATTTTCAATTTTTAAAATCCAAAATGACCAGAATACCTGATTCAGCAATGATCAACGGTGTTAAAAATGCTATCTATTATTATTATTATTATTAAAAAGCTGCTTTCCAGAAAATCAATATTTTCATCGAAAATTGACCAAAAACGTAACCCGCTACATCTAGCCCCTAAAAGTAAAAGTAATCTAAAGAAAAAAAAAAAAGGAGGCCACCAGACGTGCAAAACACAGTGCGATTCGTGTAAAAATATAGTTCAAATAAAACATAAATTTTATGTCTCCAAATCTAATAATTAGCAATGGATATACAGTCATGTAAAACAGAAAAGTCAATGTCAAAAGTGTCATACAATACCTAAGCATGCGATGGGAACAATAGATCTACTTGATAATAAAATATAACAAAACCAAAAATAGTGCTGACCCAAAGCGAAAAAGGCATAAATGATAAACCAATCTAATTTGTACAAGTGAAACTAGATCTCGTAATTTCACTTGTCTCAATAGGCTTGAACTAAGAAGCATAATTCATGCAACTATGTTGACTCAATTGCCCAACTTTATTTATCTCATAAAGCCTGAAATTCGTACACACATAAACATTTTTCTTCTATGTTCTGCAGATTTCACTATGTGCCTGCTAGATTATATGGTTCACAATGGGGGGATCTTGCTCCCATATTTTCTCAAATTTAGGTTGATTTATATATTTTAGGGTCAAATTCGTTTTAATATCACACCAAAAAAATTTAAAAATCAGTCAGAAAAATAATTAATTTATATGCCTTTAAGTCAAATATACGAGATGGTCCAACACTGCAAAATTACCAATTATATATACGCTATCATCAAAGCGGATTTCACGGTTAGGGTGTGATAGACAACACAGGATATTTAAAAAATAAATTTCTCCAATTACTGTTTGGTGTTCAATTTGTGTTGTTTTGTTCGTTTATGAGCCAAATAAACGCAAGAATAAAAAACAAGTGTTGTCTTTGTTTATGTAGTTTGATATTTTGCGTAACAGTGTCATGGACGTAAGGATTTAGACCTAGTGCGCTTCACGATGTTTGCGAGTTTGTCAATTTTCATTTTAACTGGCATATATTATGCTAGATCTTCTCAAAGAATGGCTAGAACACGCAAGAACTGTTTTCCTAATGCAAAAAAGCCATCCAATGAGGAAAAAAAATTTTATGTAGAAAATATTGAAATTTGGAACCACAACAAAAAAAAAAGAATAAATACTCAGCCAGCCTTTTGGAAGGACTTCCTTAATGAGCGACCACCCCAACACACACAATAAAGAAGAGACCTAACCCTAACCCTACCAATACTCCTCTGTTCTACTCTGTCTCATAGCGGACGTTCGTCACGGAAGTCCTCCCAGCTTTTTTACTCAACTTCCATTTTTGTTTCCAATTGTGTTATTTCTAGATCTATAAGGAGGTAGGCCGGGGACCACTTCTCTCTAATCTACAGAGTGACATTTTTTAGACAGTTTTAGTGTCTTTATTATGTGGAAGAGGCTAGCCGTACTTAATGACAGCTAGACAACTGGGCTAGCCGTACTTATCAATGATGGCTGGACTGACAAACAGCAAAAAATAGGTTTACTGAATTAGTATAAATTTTTTGTTTGCAATACCTAAAGTATTTGTATTTGAGACGAAATCAAAAGGTGCCTTACTGACAGTGCATGGGTATAATTTTAAACCTGAATAGACCTGTACTCAACAGGTTTCTAATAAGGCCTAAAATAAATCAGTACGGCTAGACTGGCAGGCTAGCCGTACTTAATAATGATGGCTGAAATGTAAATAAAATTTTAGTTGCAGTATCTACAGTAGGCCTATTTGTATTTCAGACGTAACCAAAAGGTGCCTTACTAACATGTAGCCTATGTATTTCAAACCTGAATAATTACTAGATCTAGATCTAATGAGACCTGTGTACTCAACAGGTTTCATTCAATAGAGTCCAACCTAGATCTAAGTACGGCTAGACTGGCAGGCTGGCCGTAATAGCTAGGTCAGCCGTACTTAACCCTGGAAGTGCGCAGGCCCTATATAAAGGGAATGAGCCGAGCTACCCAGGAAGCGTGCAGGCCCTATATCTGACCTATATCGACCGGGAAGCGCACAGGCCCTTTATAAAGGGCATAGACGCTGACCTTTTTCAATGCAGAATTCCAGTATTCCTTTTATGGAAAATGACGTGGTAAATATCAGGTCAAAGTTATAAATGGTGACCAATGACTTTGCAAGTTATCTTGACATCGTAGAGCGTCTCTTGGCCAATATATCGATCGATAAAGTGACACGGTCCAGCTGAGCGACTACACGCTATGTGTTTCTCACTTGTTTCGCCCCGTTGATGTACTAATTGTTGAGTTTATCACGCTTTGCATTTATTTGATCGCTTATCATTTTTGAATGGCTCATTCTATCAGCTTTAAGAAAATATTTGGTTATACAGTGGAATCCTGTTATAACGAGAGGGAGGGGACTGGAGCAAAATGTCCGTTATAGCAGGATTCTCGCTATAAGGGATCCAGTAATAAATTCAAGGGAAACTGTAAAATAGGCCAAATCTATGATTTTGCGGTTCTGTATATTTCCTTTTGATATCTCCCCTGATGATGATTTGGTTTCAACATGACCTTTGGGTCTTACTTGATCAAAAATGGAATCAAGTTTCTTTCCCTAGCGCTAGATCTAGCCATGTTGACTGACAGCTCGGCGTTGGCGATCACAAAGAAAGGGCTCTAAGCTAACTCACCCGCTGTGTTTTCCCCCATCCCACCACACCCTGTGGTGCATTCCGTCAGCTTGCGCACGTCACTCATTCGCTCCACCCATCACATTGCTATGACCTCTCCATCCCCGAATCGGAGAAGTGAGAGGCATGGTAGGCCTTGATTATCTAAACTTGGCCTATCACGCGATGCGTTCCGCTT